TAGTGGATCTCTACTCAATAAAATATACATGTTTGCCAAATTTCAAGTCTAAATCTAATAGATCAAAAATGGAACTTTTTTTTTATCAATGAGCTGCAGTAACCACCTTTGAGAGTCGATTTCTCCAAGACTTGTTCAATTCAACAAAGAGGCATACATACAAAATTTCATTACTGTAGGTCTAGTAATTCGAAAAAACGTGGGTTATTATTATTATTACCTATACGCCGTAAAAGATTCCCTCTCCCCCCATAGGAGTCGATTTCCGTACTATCCTTTCTTAGCGAATTTCCATTTAACAAAAGTAAATTTCATTACGGTAAGTAGTAGTTTCGATAACACAATTTTTTTTATAAATTTATCCCATCAACTCCCTCTCACCACATAATAGGAGTCGATTTCCGTAAAATCCGTTCTTAACGGATCGCTATTCAACAACAATACAAACAAACAAACAAACAAAAAACCATGCTCACCAAATTTCGAGTTTGTAGTTCTAAAAGTTCAAAAAATGGGAATATTTGTCTCTATAACACCCGTAATACCCCTTAGAAGTCAATTTTCGCAAAACCTTTTTTGTAGAGAACCTCTACTCCATAAAAGGAAAATGCCAACTAAAGTTAAAATGAGCTTTATTTAAACCCCCTTTTAAGCCCCCCAACCCCCCTTGGGGTAAATTTTTACTAACTCAGAAACCTTCGGGCATGAATCCCCATTCCTCGTTTATCCCTCGGCTGAAAGGTTTGGGAAGGCATAAGAACATACAAACCCCCAAAACTTCATTTTATTTTGGGGATAATTTTTAAAAAAGAGTTGTTGATGCTAAAGTGCCATTCTTCGAACAGAAACAAAAAATTGTTTTCTGCTACAATTAAAAGAATTTTTTTAAAATATTACCTGATGTTTCGTTGCAACAAAGAGATACAGTGCGACGGGGGGGGAGCGGGTTGGAGGAAAAAACAAGATTAGGGTTCTGGGGGAGACCACCTGAAAAAAAAAACTAAATTATAACGGACCATATTTAAATTTTTTTAATTCGGAAAAAAATATGAGTTTTGAAACATAAATTGAATTTTTTTTATAATGTACTCACGCCGGTACATACTTTTTAAAAGACAATTCAATAAAAAATTCTTTGAAATATATTCTGTCATGCATTTTTTCATTGTATCGATTTTATAATTAGGTATTATGAATTGTAGGGATTTATATGTGAATTTAATACTATTCGAATAAAATATTTTAACACAGTTTCTGTATTCGTATCAATAATCTGAAGATTGCTAAGGCGATTTTAGAATTAAAAAAATGCCATAACTAGTTAGCAGTTTAATTTTTGATTGAATAAAAATTTTAATAATTTTATAAGCAAAAATAACGCTGTATAGCATTAAGATTCTATGCAAAGATCTTAATATGATAAAACCGAACGATACAATCTTATAAACAATAACAAACATTAATAACCCTAAATGCGAAAAACCAAATAATTTTTAAACACAATAATCAAACAATAAGTTATAAGTTAATAAGTTATCAAATAATAAGTTATCACTTATCAAATAAAGGATATCTATGATTTGAAAAAAAAAGAAACAATAAAGTTTTCATGTAAATTTACAGATCGAATTTTTATGGAAATAGTAAGTAACAGGAATATTGTATAACTTTTTTAAAAATAGAATTTTTTTTCAACAAGGGAAAAGGAATTTTTTTAAGTTTCCAAATTTTTTTTACAACAACTGTATTTTTTTAAAATTTTTTTGGAAAAAAGAAAATTTATAGAAAAGTAATTTAAAAATAATTTTTAAAAAAAAAAAAAAAAATTATAATTTTAAATTTTTTTTTTTTTTTAAAGAAACCCAAATTTCTTCACAATTTGTTTAACGCAAAAAAAAAAATAAAATTTACAATTTTTTTCCTTTCATATTTTCAACGGATTTATTTGTTCACTTTATGTACAAATACGGTTTACTTTCTCGCAATCAAGTATACCTTTTCTTTAATCGTTAAAATATACATTTTTTAAAAAAAGGTAAACCCCTTTTTTCCCCTCACGATTTTTTCACAAAGAGAAAATAAAAAACATTAATGTCAAAAGATAAGTTTCGCGATCCTGAATTATGGACCATTGAGTTTCCAAGTCTTTCCAATCTTTTCAAAACAGAGTTGTGTCCCAAAGCAACCATCACTAATCTCGGTAATCTAACCCTAAACTTTCATAAACTAATAAAGCATGCTCTGTTAACAAAACCTTTAGGAACATACATACCTTCTGGCAGTGAAGCCGTCAAAAGAATTTAAAAGCAAAGATCAAAAAGCTATTTTTAGTTTATTTTAGTGGGTGGCATAGACATTATTGCAGCGAAACTTAAAGCATTTCTCTCTGTGTGACAAACAGATTATTCATCTTATTCTACTTCTAGTTAGCAACAAAGAAAAAAAAAGATTTAAAAAAATGACGTTACAACGAAGAGATAACATTAGTACATATAAAATGAATCGAAATACAATCGGACCTCCATATAACGAACCTCTGTATTGCGAATTTTTTCTATTTTACGAACTTTTTTCCGGGACCAAGGACAGAAGAATATTGAAAAATGAATCTCTACATAACAAATTTTTCTCAAAACGAACTTTTTCGGGATTTAGCAACTTCGTTAAATAGGGGCCCGACTCTGTTATGAAGATGATAAACATATTAGTCGATTACTGTAAATTAAAAAAAAAAAGATTTAAAAAATGCTCAGTTTGAATCTTTAGAATAATCAAGCTTACTAACGAAAAGTTATCAAACTATTGTTGTTGTTGCTGCTGCTTATGCCACCTGATCGACAGTACCATCAGATCAAGGTCCACGAAATTCATCGCGGCTAAGGGCTAGATTTTTACGCCTGTCGTTAACCTAAGCTTTAGCACCATGCAGGTGACAGTACGCGATTTGGCTCGGTCCACTCCAATTTTGAGGGAGAACACCCTGGTTGTGATCAGGGCCTCCCTACTCTCTTTCCCTTCCACGAACCCCACGAAAGGAATAGCGGCTCGACGGCTATTTAGAGTACCCCATGACGCAAAGGCACTATACATTTTCAAACATCCATGCCTTCTCTGGGATTCGAACCCAGGCTCTACGTCACCGCAGTCAGCGTCACTAACCACTATAATCAAACTGCAATTAATATTACTAAAATAATTATAACATACGAGTTCTCAAACATGTATAACAAACTTGTAACACAATAAATTATTAATAAAGATACAATTTTCGTATTATCAAGCACGAGGTGAAATAAATTCAACGGACTAAATTCATGTGACGTCATTAGTCACATGATAACTGAGCCACGTGTTTTCGGCCAATCAGTTCATAAATTAATGCGACGTCATAATTATATCATAAATATAATCACGCGTTTCCAGCCAATTAGTGCATGTGCTTCACTGTTGCCAACTGTTGCTTTTTGTAGAAACTTTCTTTTAGAAAGTACATATTTGTCAACGATATAATAATGCATATACTAGTGCACTTAATTTAAAAGTATTCGTATAGAGTAAGTATTTTTTTTAATTTTGAAAACTGTTTGAAGAATTTTAACACGTGAATTCTTTACTTTATTAATTATCTAAAAAAATTATCTAGAAATTATCTAAACTTTTTAAAATTATCTAAACTTTACAAGTTGAACCACTAGTATGTCAATTTTTAATCAATGGGAAACACGCGATTGCCGTTATCATGTGACCATCATGAATTTAGTCCATTGGTTAAATTCATGACGTCATAGTCACATGATTAATGCAGTTACGTATCCATGCGCTTCGCTGTTACCTACTTTTGCTTTTTGCAGAAATTTTTCTGTATAATGTAAATATTTATCAACAATAATAACGTACATAAGTAAACACAAAATGCACTGGATTTATGAGTATACGTATAATATAAGATCTTTCTTTTTGTAATTTCAAAAAACGTTTTGAGGAATCTTAATACTTGAACATCTTTACCAAGTTATCAAATTTGAGCTTTTATTTAAATTTTACGGGTAGTGAGTAGTATTTTATTAAATTTACAACAAGCGCAAGTTCAATGTTAGTTTTGAATTGAATAGAGAACACGTGATTATATTTATCATGCGACTGTCAATTTGACTCATTGCATCATTGTGGGAAGTAAAAATAGATTAATACTTTAAAGCAATGGTTATTAAACGAGCTGTCAAAATAAAAAAAATTATTATTGTATAAATCGATAAAATAAATTTCAGATACAATAACGATGGGTTTAAAAACACGGCTGAATTTTTTCCCTTAATAATTTAAATGAAAATAGCATAGAAAGGAAGAATTAATAAATATTTTTTTTTATAGTCAAAGTTGAATGAAACTAATGTACGAAAAACACAACTACTATCATCATAAATAGATAATTAATAATTTAATAATAAAGTATATAATTTTCCTGACAGAAAATTGAAGATTTATTTCATATGAATTCTATGAAAAATATACAATTATTTAAAAAAAAATTAGTAGTCAAATGTATTTTTGTAAACTTTCAGAAATTGAAAGAAACAAAATTTTAACTTATTTATTTCCATAATCAATATAGAGGAATTACAATTTTGGGGTACATTGTTAAAACAATTTTTTAAAAGTATACATTTTTCGAGTTTTTTTACTCTCTTTTCCTCGTACTTTAAAAGATAACAAGTAATTTTAAAAAATTGAGTCAATTCCTATTTAGGTCAACAAAGAAAAATTCTAATTTAGTTACTTTTTATTAAATAGTTACAACTAATATAAATATGTATATACAAATGACAGAATCACAATATTAAGTGACAAAATAGAAAGCGATTTTCCTTGCAATTTTCCATTTTCCTTTCTATATAGGGTGTAAGACTATTTTTTTTGTTACGATTTATTCATTAATTAAATTTAACTATTCTAATAAAATAGTATAATAAAAAAAGAAATCACATTCTCAGAAATTAGGCCATCCCAGGTGGGATGCGAACCTACGACCTTTGGATTAGAAGTCCAATGCGCTATCCATTGCGCTGCAAGGACACAACGAACGATTTTCCTTTCTATATATGCTGTTGGACTATTATTTTTCACAATTTCTACTATTAACTCACTCTCTCTTTATATATATTTATTTATATATATATTTATCTTGTTCAAATTTCAATCGTAATAAAATACTTTCTATTCATCCATTCAAAGTAGGAATTGACTTAATTTTTTTTATATTCCTTGTTGTTTGTTACTATTTATTCATTTTTTAATTTAATTAATGAATTTATATTTGAAAAACTGTATTAACATTAAGTGTCATCCACTACAAGTTTAAAAAATGTATTTGAACTCGAGTGGATGAATAGAAAGTATTTTATAAGCGATTGAAAACTTGAACAAGATATATAAATAGGAAGAGAGTTAGCGTTTGCTAACAGTAGGAATTGAAAAAGCAAGCTGATTTCTATAGAACTGCAATAGACTGGTAGATAGGAAATGAAAAAGCTAAATGAACACAAGAGTTCCAAAAAGAATAATCTCGAAAAAAGCTCTGGCAACTGACTATTTTTATTTCGTCGAGCTTCTGAAGCAGAATAGTTACAATGCCCCCACCGACAGCATTTTTTAAAGAAAGAAACGAAGAAAACATAACAGTTAAAGCATTAAAACGACAAAGGCGAAGGAAGTATCACTTAATGCAGTTCCTAGCTACAGGGCATTTACCTCGTCGAACATTAAGGAAAGGGGAGGGGAGGACATAAGAATTAAGAAAAAGTGTAACGAAATTTTATCACAGATGTAACTGAAATGACACAGTTGTTTGCTTTTATATTTGTAGTATTTTGATACATAAAGACATATTATTTACAAAATTACAACGTATTTTTATGTGAAGGTATTTACAACAGTATGTGACCAGAATATTGAAATACATTGGGTCGTCTTGCTTGGCCATTGGAAGACTATTTAAATTAGGGTACTCAACTTTTTTCCCGCCGGCCACATACATGTGACAGGTATTTCAAACGGGCCGCAACATGAGTATATGGGAAAAAACACTATAAGACCAAAGCAGCATTGGACAAAGCAAAATTGATAAAAATATTAAAACTTCATTTTCAGTTTTTATTTTAATACTCTATTAACCCTATTATCAAACATACACACACAAAAAAAAATAACCTTAATCAAATTGGATTGATTGATTGAATATTAACGTCGTACTGTTCAGCTACACGAGGGCTTTTGGCGACGGACCACGTAACTTTGAACCATGGTCAAGTGACGTGGACGACACCTGAGCTGGCACCCCCTCCCTAACTCCACCACACCACACCAACGGGGGGGACGCGTTTCAGCCTGACAGATTTAACGTGCATCGCTGCCCTAAGGGGGTTTTTTAGTGGTACTGGGCTCGAACTCGTGACAAGGCAAGCCACGGTCCGATACCTATACCACTCGGCTACCGCGGCCACCCTAGTAATTTTGAACCATGATCAAGTAACGAGGACGACACCTGAGCTGGCACCCCCTCTCCAAACTTCCACAACACACCAAATGAAGGGCGTTTAATCCTCAACAGATTAAACGCACATAGGCCCCCTATGCACGGCGGGTTTTCAGTGGTCCGGGCTCGAACTCATGACATGCTAGCCACGAGTCCATGACCATGACCACTAGGCAACCTCGGCCACTCGATTTACACGGAAGATAGGTGTCTTGGAAAACCATGTAACTCGAAAACAAACTAAAAAATGTGCCTAATTCAGTCATTTATTTCAATGTAAAATAAAACTAATATGTAATTGTATTGGCATCAACTGAATCACTTTAGAGTGGTGTATTTAGCCATATCATTTATATGTTTTTTTCCCATCCTTTCCATTGAAACATTCTACATATAAAAGCCCTCAGGGGCCATTCTAGGGTGTAGGTGTCACCTGATACCTCTATGATCTTTTCCTTTCCCCAAAGGGTTTACTATCTTTGGTAAACACGTGTCACCCGGGGTACCCCGTGATCCTTCTCTATTTTCGACCCTCCATCTTGTCATCCAATTTCTCCTTTTCCCGTCCAGACCACAGACCTATGAATGTTTGGCGCAGTATAGCCAAAACTGGCTCTTGCGCCATAAAACACCAAACTCAACTCAACTTACATATAAAGCTGTGCTCATACTTGTAGAAGATTAAGTTATTCCACTTTTTCTAATTGAGTCTTCATTTTTTTTTATGGTGACTTCATTCGAGGAATTAAATTTAGCAACATGTGTTATGCTTTCTCCATTATGAATGCGATTAAAAACTTTAATTTTTCTTTTAAATATATAACTTTTTTAATTTTTCTTTAAAAAAAAATTGCTTTTAGCGCGGCACTTAACTGAAATTTTTATCAAGTTATAAAAATTCGCTAACTAATATCAATATGAAGCTTTTAAAGAAATTTCAAAATAGAAAACACAATGATGTACACCTATAGCTGTTGTTAAAAATAAACTGCTCCAAATCACATAATCAGGAAGTTTGGATGTACATATATAACGAGAAACCTCATTTTTAGAATGGAATAAATGGCATTCAGAAGGGAAAAAAATGGTACTAACGTACAGAATTAAAAAATAAATTATAGTTTAAAAAAAACAAACTAAAACACTCTTTTATAGTTAATTGAACTAAAAAGAAAAAAATAATTCTTGATATAAGAATAAAATGAATAACGAGAAAATTAATGTCATTGCGGTAAAAGCATGGAGTGTGCTTTGTATTACATTTTTACACTAACTCAGCATTTCGGAATAGAACTAGTAAGCAATTATGACAAATGATATATTGAGCACCCCTCGTTTTTACCACAATGACGTTAATTTTCTCCTTAATCATTTTATTCTTATATTAAGAATTATTTTTTACTTTTTAGTTCGATTGATTATAAAAGCGTGTTTATTTGATTTTTTTAAACTATATATATATATATATTTTTTTTTTTTTTTTTAGTTCCATTGACTATAAAAGCGTGTTTATTTGGCTTTTTTTAAACTATAGTTGTTTTTTTCATTTTTAGTTCGATCTACAATAAAAGCGTGTCTTTTTCAGTGTTTTTAAACTATCTTTTATTCGTTGATGAATTAAATCTATTTCGTTTGTTGTGTGTATTTGTATTAACCATGCGATTTTTCGTTTTAGGTTTGTAACTTAATATTTTAGTCGCCAAATCTGGAAATGGAAAATTGTTAATCTTGATCAGGACAATGGAACAAACTTATTAAATTATTGTATTGTCATCGGTCCGTGACGATTGTGCAAAATTTCGAAATAATCTGACCTTTTAAAGTGGGTAAAAATCGAGTTCAAAGATTCCGTTACATACAGGTGAAACTAATAAAAGCGTGTTAATGACAACAGATTTTTTTAAATCCCGTATATTAAAATCGAGCAAAAGTGAAAACGTGTAAAAAAGTACCATGTACATCGATATATGGCGATAACAATATTGATGATATATGGCGTAAATAACAATAACACATAAAGTAAATAAATCTCCTGAACTGTTTCTTCATTTATACTTTTTATAAATATTGTTTCGCATTTATACGAAATCGGTAGAGGAACTTAAAACCTTAAAAACAGGTAACAGTATTTTCATAGAACACATTTAAGAACCACAATTTGGATTGAAACATTATGGACACGAAAATGTTACTAATTATTTAGTCATGTGAAACAACGCCCACCCACTTTATTAATACAACATGAGTTTTTGAGGACAGAAAAGCAAAACAACATTTAATTAACGGAATTAAGTTTTCCGATATTCGTTCTCTAACAACAGGGAAAACCAACCGCTAAAAACAGTGGACACTCAAACAATTCATGAGGTGACCTTGAAGAAACGTATTCCAACCCTATTAACCAGAAACCACGTTACATCCGACTATTTTCATTCAAATTGTCATTGCAGAAACCTCAAATACCCCGACTCAACCATTTTTTTTTTGTATTTTTCCTGATCTGTTTTTGGAAAAAAACACGTTCATGTGATCATATCCGTGGAGAAGGAGCGGGAAAGACATTTTTCAGACGATAGAGGCAGTTAAGTAAAAATTATGGCAGAATAGAGAACTTTCTTTTCAAGATTATTTTACGTCAAGAATTTATGAACTTTTAAACTGTAAAATGCAAAAAACAATCTAGAAATAACACAGCTGATTTTTTTTACTTTTTAAACTATTTCTACCATAACTTTTACTTGACAAGAAATACTTTACAATAACCGAACGACATCTTATGTTCATTCTTTAATGCCGTATATTTCAATTTTTTAAAAAGTGAAAATATAAAGAGGTCGCCTTAAAACAGATCCACTAACCCGGGGGAGGATAAAATTTAAAGGGGAAAAACATTTTTTTAAATTTTTTCCGCTAACCAACAAGCAATTTTTTTAAAAATTTTTTTTTTTGGGTTTTGGATCAACTTATTCTAAAAAAAGAGGGGAAGGCATAAATTCTTCGAAGTTAGTTTTCATATGGTTCGTAAAAATGTTCACTCACTCATTGGGATGTCTGAATGCATATGATTATCATGCAGCGAGTTTTGCCTTCAAAACATGATACATAGGTCGACGATCACTTATCGTATAAATAATTTCTGTTAACTCTCATTTTCAAAAAAAAAAAAAAAGGAAAGAAAGAAATGCCACAGAAAGCAGAACAAAAACGCATGGAATACAAAGCAAGAAATCAATGAAAAATGTGTTAAATTAAAATAGGATTACCAGAAATAATGTTATCGTCGTTGATTGCAATTAGAATGGAAAACATCCCTTCTGTTTTGCCAACATATTTGAAAATTAAAGGGTTTTTTTTTCACGATACAGCTTTTATAAGAATTTCGAATATTGGTACATGTTTGAAAAAGACACACTCGGCTCATAATACGGTTTATACAGTGTGTAACGTTTTTCCGTCACACAGCTGAAAAGTCGGTTTTTTTGTGATAGGAAAAACCGCGTTCCTATGCACACATCACCTTAAAATATTGAGGTCTTGTTTT